TAATGGAAAAGAGTAACTGTGAAGATAAAAGTCCAAGAAACACTCCAGAAAATATACTCATGAAATATTCTTACCTGGGATTGTCCGTCTCAACTCTTCACACCCATGCTTTTGGACATTATAAGCAGGTGAGTGATCAGTATATACGTGTCTGATGAACATTCTCAAAAAACAAATATACGTTTCCGACGAACCAGTGGCATTTCACAATTCACTTTGAAGCTGTGAAACTTCTTTGTGGCCAAGGGCCATGCAATTACATTTTGCCAGTTTATGAGAACCAATGCCGATGGAGTGCATGATGAAGCAGAGATCATTTGTATTGTTCGTCAACAAGTCTATTGAAGGGAAAAACATGGATATGAAGATATCATTTCACTGACCTTGCCTTCCTTTACATGGATATGAAGATATCATTTCACTGACCAGTGTTGTGAGGCGCTGGCCTTTCACCTTTGGCGATAAGGCAAGGCGAGGCGAGGCACTTTCGCCTATTTGCCTCGAGGTGAGGCGAGTTGAAAATGGTGGCCTTATGGCGCCCTTTGGCGACCTTTTGCGACAAGGCTGGCGTCGCCTTTTTTTTTTTAAAGGTCTGATTTATAATTAAAAGCCAAAATTAGGGTTTTTTTGGGGGTATTTTTGCAAACATTCCACATTTGCGATTGCCTCCTCTTCTCCTCAGTCTCGAACCCTTCGTGTTTGCCTCCTTTTTGCAAACACCGACTTCACGACCTTCTTCTTCAACTCACTTCGCGACTACTGCTCCTTCGCCGCTTCGTGACTGCTGCCAGGTACGTTTCTTCTTCTTCTTCTTCCTCCTCCTTCCTCCTTCCTCCTTCCTCCTTCTTCCTTCTTCCTTCTTCTTCTCTTCTTCTTCTTCTTCTTCTTCTTCTTCTTCTTCCTCTTCCTTCTTCTTCCTTCTTCCTTCTTCCTTCTTCTTCTCTTCTAATTCTTCTCTTCTTCTTCTTCTTCTTCTCTTCTAATTCTTCTCTTCTTTTCTTCTTCTTCTTCTTCTCTTCTTTTCTTCTTCTTCTTCACTACTCTATTTTTAGTTTTTAAATTTAAATATTTGCTAATATATGTTATTGCTATTAAGATTTTGGATATTTATATGTGCAATTAAAAAATTTAATTTTTGGTATTAATTGGCGCCTTAATTCAAAAAGGCGAGCGGCGAGGTGGCGAGGCAGACCCTTGTCGCCTTTTGTCACCTCTCGCCGTCCAAAACACTGTCATTGACTTTAAGAGAAAAATGTCAATCTTTATTCTGGATAGTGTTCTGTAATTGCTACTGCTGACTGAATAAAATGGACTTCCTTTATATTCATAGGTTGTAGTCTAGCTTAAAAGTATCCAAAAAAAGAGATTTCTTTTTACCAGTATGGCCACAGAAGAAAAAGAAAAAACGAAGAGACTGATAGAGGGCGCTCCTTCTGAGATCAATATGGACAAAAACTGAATAAAAAACAAAAGAGTAGTCCAGAAAAACTTAAGTGAAGGATGAGAAAAAGAAAAAGTAAAACATTGATGGCCATAGATGTGTTGGATGTGTAACATGTACACTAACACATATTTTGACTTGATTTTATATAGAAAAAATAAAATAAAAAACCACCTTAATGAAAGAAATATCAAGAAATCAGCTTCAATAGTTTCCTCCTCTTGGAATCAAGTATCTGTGCATTCAAATTTGACTAGGTGAGAGTTCGTCTCTTTCTTTGTTTGATGTTTCTTTTCAGCTGGAGCAGTTTAACCCCTGTAAATGATGTTATTCTCTTGTAGATTTCATTAGCTCCCTGTCTTTGGCTTAACAACCAGATTTTTTGCTCATTTAGGGAATTGCTCAATGCTCTATCTGTAGATTTTGTATCTAGGAGCTTTCCCTAATTTCTCTGTACTGTTTTCAGCATCTTCTTGATGCCAATCAACATAACAATTACTTCATCAAAGTAATAATAATAATAATAATAATAATAGTAATATCGATCTATCTTTTACCTTTATAAAAAAAAAGTATTACTAATACCTAAACAAATGATTAGGTATGCATGCACTCGTCATAAATCATAATTTGCTAATACATATGCTTTGTTTAGAATAGATATATTTTGGTTAGATAGCATGGAGAAACATGATTCTCTAGTTTGATAATCTCAGCTACTATTAAGTGAATTTCCAGGAGCTAATACCTGCGGCTTTTTTCTAACCCTGGGCTTCTAGAAAGGGATGTTCCTTTACAGTGTTGTCTTTTTCCTATTAGTTCCATTAGTCCCATTAATTCTTTATTTCTTTTAGCCTTGGCCTTTGGGTGTTATCTTTTCTGGTAGTGTCTCTTGAGAGTGTTATATATAAAGGACCAAATTAGATCTTCCCTAAATTTAAGGGACTATTTTGGGCTTTTTCACCATAGTCTACTATAAAATGTTATTGGCAAAACTTTTACTACTTGTAGAGTCAACTGGATTATATCCTTTAACAGATAGTGTATGGTACCCTAACCTCCAACTGCCAAGATGAAACATGTACTGTTGTATTTCTTTCTGTTTCTAGTGCTTGTAAATCTATGCCTTGATTTCGACTTCGCAATTTCCAATAAGCAGGAAATACAATCAGGGTGACACAAAATGCTCAAAAACTGGAGGAGAAAAGATTGGCCGTTTACAATGAAATAGCTGCGCAGAATGAAGCACTGGGATTGGGTTCAAACAAGGTAACCTTGCAAATCAATATTTAAAATTTCACTCCAGATTTATTGGACTATTATGCTTCTTGCTGCATAAAGTGAAGTGTTCTTTGCAAAGGCTTGTGAATGAGGGTTCCTAAACAGTTGGGCATCAACAAAGTGTACTAGTCAAAAAGGCCCTCTATACTAATCTCTATTGTATTCTCCCTTACGGCATATCCCAAAATATGTGACACCATTCTATTAATATTGTTACTCTATTCTACTTTCACAATTTTAAAAACCATTTAACTATTAGAATTACATGGATGTGATTTGCTATATCAGACTAACTTTTCAACAACTGGTTTTATATTTTCTTTCACAACTCCTAATATTTGTCTAAAGAAAAAGTCAAATTAACATCTTAAACTCCATGGTCAGTGAAGTAGTGTCACATTTCATGTATGATGTAGCAGAGAAAGTATTCACTTTGAAAGTTAATTCTTCCCTGCTAACATAATCATTAACCAATCCAATTGTGCTCTGGGAGTTGTTGGTCCAAGTTCTTAGAACTTCTTTCATTTAATTATGCGAGCCTTGCATGTTTGGGAAACTAATTGAGACACTTTGACAAGTGCATTTGAATCTTCTTATAGCTGAAATAACAAAACAAAGAGAAATAATGGTGTGCTGGTCACTGTAGGTTTTGGAGACCTCTATCCTCCATTGTGCACCTCTTCCCACGTGCATCCACTCTGAACTCATTGTTGAGAAATTATTTCTAATTGGTTCTCACTCTTCTGGGTCTGTGGAAGACCTTTCTAGAGATTGATTGAAACGTTACTAGATGTGTCATGTTGTTACTTGATGTGTTTGATTAATGCTGTTTAATTTTGGCAATTTGTTTTTTGAGTGTAATGTTCAACAACTTGCTTCTTTAGTTGGAATGTGATCAGATGCATTTTTCTGTTGCTTGATGTGTTGAAATATTATGTTCCATCCTAGTGTACAGAGCTTTGGGCTGGACTTCTATTTATGATCCTAAGGATGTTAATTTGGGTTAAGTAATTTCTGATATTCTACAGTTCACAACACAAATTCTCTGTTCTTCACAGGCTTACTGAAAGTTTGAAATGGAAATAGCCAGACGAATCAGAACTATCACTGGTTCAAAAGAAAATGTCAGGTATCTGGATACCTATTTCTTGGATTATTAACCCTATCTCCTATAGATTTTTATTTTTTTAAAATCATTATCTATCTTCCATATTTAAGTCACGCTTTTAGTTGCTTTGACGTGCATTTTCAAACCATTTTTGGGAATAAACTTCAAAGAGGTGGAAGCTCTATATTGCTCTTTGATACGTATGTACTACTTTTCCCTATGCAGAGTGAAAGCAGATGAATTAACTAAGCTAATTAGTGGTTCAACATGTCCACAATCCATCAGCATTGCAATGTTCGCACAGAAGGTAAAATCTTTAACTGGGGTGTCATCTTTCGGTGTCTCTTGTGATGTTGTTTTTACTTCTTTTTCATTTTTCTTTCCTCTTTTCGGGAGGGGCCGGGGGATGATGGTGGGGATTTGTGGTTTGCATGTGCTTATGCTTGTAGAAAATTGTGGGTTCTTGATGTAGCAGTTGAGTTGTGTATCTTGAATATATTTTACTATTGGAGTTTTGTGTAAAACATGTAAAGTATTTACTGTGATTCTGGTTTTCACTTTTATAGGTGGTGTCCCTGTGTGTGAAACCTACAGGAAGCTTTAACAGTGCAGTCTATGCTTATGGTCGTGTAATTGTCCATGTTACATCAAAGGTAATTATGTTATTGTTCTTAGTCTTCTTGCTATTATAGGCCCATGATAGTTCTTGTCTTATAAGTAGGAGGTTGACGTCAATAACTGCAAAGAAAGCAATAAAAGTTTTTTTACTCCTTCATTGGCGAGGAGTAAAATACCAACGTACTCCCTCGAAAACCAGTCTTGCCTCAATCCTAGATTGAATATCATATTTTGACTTCACATTGTGGGTGTTTTTTTTTCATAATAACTTTCTACATTAAACAATGTTCTCCTGAACCAAATAGTAATTTTGTTAAGGGAGTTCTTGGTTCAGAGCTTCTTTTGCCTGAGGTTTGATGGAAATGACAGAATCCCAAATTAGTTTCCTTTAGTTGAATATGAAATCCTGTTAAATTTACTTGGTGATGGGACTAAAACTGCTCAGTTTGTTTAATTGGAGGTCAGATGTGCTCAGGCCAATAGTACAAGGACAAAAACTCTCACAATATTTCAGGGACCAAAATTGCTTCTTTTTTCCCTTAATCATTTCATATAGTAACTGATTTAGTTGTAAACTGCATTTTATGGCAGACTGAAGTTGACGGCTGCCAAAACTTGCATGGCCTCAGAGAAGGTTGGGCATGGATAGCCAGATTCTTAAATGTTTTCCCTGCAAATTTATACACCGCAGCTGCATTGCAGGCTTTTCTTGAAGTAAGTTGAAAAAGCTCTTTATTAGCTCCTCTTAAGTTGATGAAATGTGGGTAGGACTTAAAAGAAAATGTCTTGGTTACCAGATGGCAGGTTTTGCTCTACACAAAAGATATAAGACACAATTCAGAAAGCTGCTGGATATCATTGCTAGAGATTTTCTAACTGCATTGAAAGATCGAGGTGATGCAAAGTTGATCAAAGTGATTGTGAGTCTCCGGAGTTATATAGAGTCAAATCAGTTCCTGAATGAACCTGAGGGCTGGCGCCTCAGGAGTTCCTTGGAATCACACAATTTCGCTCCAGATTCAGATCATGATCAACAGTTTCATTACCAACAGAATAGATTCTATTAGACTATTACTAGGTCTACAGAGTAGGAATCCATTCTTTAAGATGCTTTGTTCTCAGAATTTGAATATGTAACTGCACCTGTATCAGTTGTATATCGTTAATATGTAATTGCTCTTGTATCAGTTTTGGTTGGTTCTGAACCAGATTACATATGGATTCTTGTAACTTGGAAAAGGCCAGTGTTCTTGTCATTTTCAATGGACGTTGCCTGCAAAGTGTAAGCCAACCTTATTCATGTTGCTTTAAGGTAATCAATTTAATTTGTTTTATGGTTGGCTAATCATCTGTTTTGCTAGCATCATATTGAAATGATTAGTTTATTTATTCTTGTATTTTCCCTTGCTGTTACAGCTTACTGGTTTAAATTACACCAAAAAGGTAATGGCAGATATTAAGTATTGCATGACTGTATCCTCTGCAGGGGTGAGAAATTTTACAGACTATTTCTCAGTATCTTTGAGATTCTTATTTCTAAAGTTCGTAGAAAGGATTTGACCAATCAATTGTTTTAGTTCTCAAGTGTCTCTGAATGTTTCTTTCTTAGCTTGCAATAATTTTTGTTTTGTCGCTTACAGGAATGGAAATTAGCTGGTTTGAACATTTATAATTTTGATACCAGGAAAATAGACCCACTCATGGAGCCACATATCTTGTTGTTTCTTCTCATTGTTTAGATGACATTTTGCTCTGAAAGATAACTGATGTTCTGTCATTCTAGAGTGCAGGGTCTGGTCATTTGATATGCTATTGTCATGTTCCAATTGTGTACTTGTGTTTTGTTGATTTTGTGTTGTACAGACAGATATGTACATTGTGCAATTTTGCTATATATGTTGGCGGGAATTGGATATAATATCATTCATCTGAGAAGTTTGTCGCTCTTGCGCGAACAAAAAAAGGAAGGATATTACAGCTTGGGAGCATGAGTTTTGTGCAAGAACTTACTCTAGTTAAAGAGCTGATTTGACATCGATTGATGTCAATATCTTTTGCAAAAACTTTGTTCCTGCATTTCTTCCTAGTCTTACTTTATTATTGTTTCTTGAGATAAGGGTCAAAAACATCCTTTTTTTGAGCTTTATATCTAAACTATTAAGAGTTAGTTTCATACCTAAACTATCAATTATTAGTTTGAGAAACCTATCCCCTTTTTTGAGTTTCATACCTCAACTCACACTCCCAATAATTTAGGTATGAAACTAAAAAAAAGGAATAGTTTAGGTGTGTTTTTGACACTTATGTCTTGTTTCTTTAAAGCAAAGGGGATTGGTAATCATTACTGTATTGAGATTCATTTGTATAGCAAACAACTGTTATTCCTTGTTTGATGCTGGATTACATATATAGTGAAAGCTGAATATAAGAGTAAGTGTCAAATGACTTAACAACCAAACATCTCATCACCTATTGTTAATGTTTCCCCATAAGAGTAGGAAGATTGAGTTCAACAAAAAACTGTAAGGTGCTAACTTAGAGTAAGAGTTGCAGTCTTTACCCCCTAGCTGTTTAATATATTATGCTGACAAATGGAGGATTGTAAGGGGTCGTTTGATATGATGTATTAGGGGAAAAGTAATATACGTACTAGTCATGCTATTATTTAATCATTTGTTTGGGAGGATTTTCAACCCATGTTTAGCTAATATATGTATTAGTTAACCATTTTAATCGGTCCTATAGGGTGTATAACTATTATATAGCAAATCATGGCATAGTTATTCAAAAGCTAGTGTTAGTAAAAAATTATAAAATAATAGAATTACAAGATTACTGAAGAAATAAAAATCTCTTTCAGCAGAGGTGCGGATATTTCGTTCTCTTTAGGAAGATTCAAGTTCACTACAACAAATGTTTTTCACCGGTCCAACAATAGTCTTTCTTGACTTGTCCCCTCAAGGAAACAACAGCCTAATCACAAAATATAACTCAACAACTCTGGACAAGAGTTGAGTCCAAAGCTCCACAAAAAGAACACCTCCCTTCAACTAGTAAGAACTCTCTTTTTTGACAAACTTTATGCACTCTATAATTTTCTTGTATTTCAAACAAATGAAGACCACCACTATTTATACTAGAAAAAGTCTTCCTAGCAATGAATAGGAAGATAATGGTGTAGTAAATAGTGAAGATAATGATCTTAGGAGTTACATAGATTACAAAGTATAATGGAGGAATAAAGAGTGAATCATATATGAGAGGTTACAAAAGTTTTAATGGACAATGAAACCTCTCTTGGCTGAATAGTCAAAGCCAACCGTTAGTGACATGCAACAAAAAATGAGTAACACATGCAGTAACTCAAAAATGGAGTAATGCTCAAACTTAATGTTCCAACGGCAAAGTAATTGCCAATTACACCCAACTTCTGTAACATATATGAGAAGTCAACCAACGGATAACTTACAGCAAAGGCAATACTATGACTCCAAAGTATTAGCAAATTAGCATACAAAATATTAATATTAAAATGCTGACCAACAAGTTAGTAATCATGGTTAAAGTTAGAATTAGGAAACTTGATCGCGCTACGTGCGGTATAAGAAAATATTAAATTTACAATTTTTTTTGTTTTATAAAATTATAATATAACTAATGTTTTTAACGATTTTTTCGATATTCAAATCCAAATAAATTATATTACAAATTCTAACACTTATAATTGTAATTTTGACTTAGATTCATTAGACATTGATTATATATATATATATAAAAAAAAAGAATCCTTAATTAGCACAATCTAATACTTATTCTTTAATGTTAGAGTTGTTATAATTTAAAATTTATGAATTTAGTATTCATTTAAGTGCGTTCTTTTACATAATTATAACATGGTAATAAAAATAAAAATAATAGATTTAACAGAAAAATGAAGGAATATATACATATTTAAGACATTTGTGCTAGGATTAGTTTAACGTTTGCTTCCACTAAAAAATATGTTATTTCTAATATAAATGCATAAAATGTAGAACTAACATGCAAATTAATTAGCATAAATATAGTAGATCTATGAGGGAAAAAAGAAATAATTTCATAGACCTTCTTTGAATTTGACTTTTCTGAAATGATTAGGATTTAAATTTATAGCAATCACCTCTTAAAATTTATGATATTACACTTTTTTTTTTTTGAATACTTACTTTTCTTATTTTAATTTTATTGTAACACTTCTTTTAACCTATTAAATATAAATTATTATTCTCAATTATATGTTTAGACTTATTTGTCCCTCAAAAGAAACTCAATAACCTTGTTAAAAGAATCTTCTAAGTAGCATTACATATATGGATGGAATTTTCATCTAGTTTCTTAAATATTAAATGAAATATATATGTAAGTATCACATCATTATATACCTATTCGATATACTTTTTCTAATTGAATTTCTTCCATATTCAATTGAAAGTCTAGGGTTGCTAGTACTTCCTATTTCTTGTGTCTTTCCAAATCGAATTTCATATTCATCTGGAATTTGAGCTTGTTGAATCTCTGCTTCAACTATTCTTGCAATTCCTGCACATTCTTGATTTATTTCGATCATTCCTTTATTTTTATACACTTTACCATAATTTGAATTAGTAACTGTGTATAATGCTTGGGTATACACATCCCAAGAGTATAGTAATATTCTTCGAATTCTAGGTCTATCACATCCCCATTGGGTGGATGCATTTGTATCCTTACAATAAATTTGGGTATTTATTCTTTTAGCTTTTCTTTGGATGTTATGAGACATACAAAGTTGACTAAGTCGATTTTTTAGGAATTTTATTCTTTGACCAAGAGTATCTCCTTTTTTATTTTCTTTTTCATATTCTTCTCTGAAGTATTTTGCCCAAAAGCCTGGTAATTTTTGATAGTATTTTTCAAGATAAGGTAACATTTCTTTACCACTATCAAATAGCTTATAGTAATATTCTTCGAATTCATGGATTTTTAACCGTAGGGTTAATTGTTTTTGACTTTCTATTAAGTCTTTTAAAAGTTCTGAGACTTCTTTTAAACTCATTATTCTGAATAATAATAATCAGAAGTATCCATCATATTAGTTTCACTATGAAAACTATATGAATTATATATTAATAAAATTCCTAAAAAATCGACTTAGTCAACTTTGTATGTCTCATAACATCCAAAGAAAAGCTAAAAGAATAAATACCCAAATTTATTGTAAAGATACAAATGCATCCACCCAATGGGGATGTGATAGACCTTATAAAAAAAGGAAAACAACCTAAAAAAGGTTTAATAAAAAGAAAAAACTTCTCTAAATAGAAGTATATACCTAGAAAAAAATATTATAAAAAGAAAAAAGATTTTTCAAAAACTAAACCAGCAGATAAATGCAAGTGTTATAATTGTGGCGAAGAAGGCCATAAAAGTTACGAATGTAACAAAAAACGAGTTAGAATCTCAAAAATAGATAGAATAGAAATTGATTCAGATCTCGAATCAATAAAATCTATAGAAAGTGATGATTTCTTTGATGAAATCTACGAAGAGTATTCATCTAGCTCAGAAGAATTGACTAAATGAATAAAGAAATTCAAGAAAGAGATGATTCTGTTCAAATTCTTGAAAAAGAAGAAGATCACCGAGGATACGCTTTAAAAGCAACCTTTGATGGAGAAACATTTAGAAAAATCCAAGGATTAAAACTAAATCTCAAAGTAGAAGACAATCTACTAAGCAGAATGCAAAGAATGTTTGCAAGAGATAAAATTTCTTATCATGAAAATCAAGAAATAGAAAAGGTAATAGAAATTACCCAAACAACAGGAAAACATAAACTAAACCTGTTAACAAAACCTATGATAGATCAAATTCTTAGGAAAATTCCTGAAAGAAAAAGAAAGAAAATGAATTATGTTCATTTAGGAGGAATCCAAATATTAGTCAAATCGACTTTTAAAGAAGGAATCAATTGTCCGATAGTAATAAATCTATCAGATGAAAGATTCATAAATGCAAGAGAAGGAAATCTTGGTATAGTAGAGGGAAACCTAGCCTATACAAAACTCCTATTTACATAC